CTCCTCCTCCTCCTCCTCCTCCCCTGGGGAAGGGTTGCGCGCATCGTCCGCGTCGAGGTCAGGCATCTCCACGGGGCTGGCTGCAACGGGGAACTGGGACACACAAATAAATAGACACAAAGAACCAGATTCCCCATATTTCCAATATTTTCTGGGTTTCTGTCTTCCCCCCGACTTCCCATATTTTCCAATATTTTCCTGGGGATCGACGATTAATTGTGTCTGTGTGCTTTTTCCCCTCCTGACTTGACCTCGGGACCCGCATCCTCGGTGGGTGAGCTGGCGGGAAGCGTCGCGGGGGTCCGCGCTGCCCACGGGAGCGCGGAGCGCTGGACGTGGAGACGAAGCTAGGCACAGCCCTGGCCATTGTGGTCCCAGCTGAATACAGTCGAGGCGTTGACCTAAGGCACCCTAAATAAGGAACGAGGCCCCTACATTCCATAAGTTGAACTTCGATTTCGCATCGAAAACATAAAACAAAAAAAAAAAAAAAAAAAAAAAAAAAAAAAAAAAAAAAAAAAAAAAAAAAAAAAAAACCTGAGGCAAGCTATGAAACAACTAAGGAACACGGAGCCCCTCCCCAACGGAAAAGGGTTCCTTCTTCAGGGACCCGAGTGTATGCGGCGGCGGTCGGTCCGCGACGGGAATGTCGCCCGCGATGGCGACCATCTGCAAGACCTATGGGACCTACGAGACCTGTGGGATCCAGAACAGTGGCCCATGCTGGGGCGGGAGCGCCATTCCGAACGACAGGAGCACAGCGCCGATCCAGACGTGAGACCCACGCTGCAGCGGGAGCGCCAGATCCGAGACAATGCATACGATTGGGCTGACACAAAACACGCGAACAGAAACACGCCGGCCCAATCCTGTGTCAAAAACGAGGCACGGAGTGGGGCGGGACATCTTGCAGACAGCTCCAGTGGAGAGACGAGGGCAACACTCGTGCAGCGGTCGACGGGGGGGGGGGGGGAGCGGGACGGACGGGGCCCCCGCACGGGAACCCGAGGACGAGGAGGGGCCAGGGAGGGCGAGCGGCAAGAGGAGGGAGCGAGGGGAGACGGTTGTGGATGCCATGGCAATGGACACTCGAACAATCCTGTCATTGAATCAAGAATGTGTTTAAAATGTGTGTAGAACATGTTCCAAAAGTGTCTCAACATGCCTTTACATATCTAAAAAGCATGTTTGAAACGTGCTTTAGACATCTGGAAACTGTCTGGCAGCATGCTTCCTCTCCGCGAATCGGCTTCCACAGGGAGAGGGACGAGAGGGGGGGGGGGGAGGGCAGCACGGGGCGCGCAGAGGAAGGGCCCGCGCGCACCGCTCCGTGGACCCCCTCCCGTCCCCCTCGCCTCCCGCCCCTTCTCCCCCTCGGGGCACCGCCCCCCCCCCCCCCGCGGTGCCGTTCGCCGGGGCCGGCGTGCCCCAGCCGGCGTGGAAGTCGAAGAAGCAGGCCGCCTCCTCCAGCCTCGGAGGGGGCGGGGGCGGGCGGCGGGACACTGACTACCTACCAGACCACCCCAACCCAACCCGAAGACCCGAATTTCGGGTTGGGGGGGTACGGGTTCCATATGTGTTTTCTCGATGTTCCACGACCCCCCCCAACTGGAAATCGAGGATAAATTGGAGCCTTCGGGGTGGGTTGGGGTGGTTTGGTGGGTGGTGAGACACCGCCGGAGGCGAACCCCGAACCATGCAGCGTCCTGGAAGAGTGCAGGGCGGAAGCCTTCCTCGACTTTCGGCCTCGGGGGGCCCTCCCTCACTGGGCCCCGGGACCGTCAAGAAGCTGGGATCAAAAATGGGCCCAGGGGGAAGGGTCGGGCCCTCCCTCACTGGGCCCCGGGACCGTCAAGAAGCTGGGATCAAAAATGGGCCCAGGGGGAAGGGTCGGGCCTTCCAAGGACCCCGCACCTGAAAAATCTGACATCGCATGTCTGAGAGGTTCCCACCGGAGCACGCCTGCATGCCTCCAGAAGGCCTCCTCTGCTGGGGTGCCACAGCGCGGTGATCCCTCGAGAGCAGTGACGCTTCAAACAGAAGGTGCAGCACCGCGAAATACCGCGGCCATAGCGCTGCACCCGCTCTTCCTGCGGCGTGTTGCGAGCTGGACCGATCTGTGATGGCCACGGGGCCCGAAACTGGAGCGAAGTCGCCCCGCGTGACACGTCGCAACGCCCAGGTCTGAGGGGCAGGATAGGCAGGCCGCCGCCTCCGCCAGAGGCGAAAGCCCCGCCGGCAGACGCTGGAGGCCTCCAGAGACCCCCGGCGTCGTGATTTTTCGCAACGTCGACCCCTAAAGATCTGGACCCCTTCCCCGGGACCGGTGCTTCATCCTGAGCCGTTTTTTGACGTTCCCGAGGCACGGGAAGGGCCCAGGGAGGCCGAAAATAGCCAGAAAGCCTCCTGCCGTGACTGTTTCACATCGCGAGGGGGTCTGGGTCCAGGGCGCCTCTTCCGCTCGCGGGGGGGTGGGGGGGCACAGAAGGAGGGGGCCTCTCCAGCCCACATGTTGTCCCTGGCCTTTGGCCTACCGCCCAAACCCGTCAACTTTGAATTTGGGGGAAGGGGTAGTTTGCACGTGGGTCCGACGTGCTTTGATAACTCAAGGCCTTGGCGAGACACGTGGGGACACTTTTAGTCCACCCACTGCGGGGGGAGTGGGCGCCACAGAGGGAGGGGGCCTCTCGGCAGCCTCCCAGCACGCATGCAGGGAGCCTCTCGGCATGCCATGCAGGGCGCCTCCTCCGCTCGCCAGCCTCTCGGCATGCAGGGAGGGGGCCTCTCGGCAGCCTCTCGGCATGCAGGGCGCCTCCTCCGCTCGCCAGGGGGGGGGGGGGGCGAGGCGGCAGAGGGAGGGGGCCCCCCGGCAGCCTCTCGGCAGCCAGCCGCGGGCGAGGAGAGCGCCGCCGCGCGTTCGCCGGCAGGGCGGCACCTGTCCTCGCGCCCGTGCCGTCGCGAGCTGCGGCCACGTGGAGCAGTATCTCTGGCGCTTCGTTAAAGCACACACAAAACGATTATACAAAAATATGTGCATATGTTATATATATATAGATTAAAATGTGTCGTATGTTTTTTCTTATCTTTTAATACAGTAAAACTATGTTTTAAATAATGCTTGTTTGAAATAATTCTTGCTATACATAAAAATGAAATTGTTGGCCGTTTTCGGCCCCCAGGGGCCCACGCTGGGCCCCGGAGCCGTCAGAACGAGAAAACTGGGACTTCCGGGGACCCCGTCTCGAAAAAAATCAGGACGCCGGATGTCTCGGGCGTCTCCGACATCATCGGACAGCACCGGCGGGGGGGGGGTGCTCCCGGACCTCCGACGTCGTGACGCTGTGTCGCAGCGTGGACCCCGCGGAGATCTGGGCCCCCATCCCGGCGCCAGCTTTCCTCCCGAGGCGCTCTTCCTACCGGGCCCAGCGAGAGCACACCGCGGCCGAGAGGGTACCGAGAAGAGCCGTCCGTCGCGATGGTGTCCACGACGCGAGGAGGTGGCGGCTGCAAGAGACATGGACTCGCTGAGGACCGGCTGGGCGGTGCATCAACAATGTCGCCCCGTCCACCCCTCACGACTCCCTGCCTCTTCCGTCCTCCACCCCTCCACACCACCCGCACGTGCGCCCTGCATGGATCCGTTGCCTTTGCCTGCCGAAGCCCTGGAAACTCCCTGCCCGCGCCCTCCACCCAGACCCGCCCCCGCGGCAAGCGCTCGCATCGTGACGACATGCGCGTTGGCTTCTGAACCCGCGTGGACCTTTCGACCTTGAGCGATCGAAGCTGTCCGATAGCGCAGATCTTTCAACGCCAGCAAATTCAGAGCCACGGCGCTCAACCGTGCAAGCCCGAGTTGCTCGTTGCTTGGTGTGGTCGTATAGTACCACTGTAGCCAGTGGGATAAATCACAGAACCAATGTGTTGTTGTCAAGGCGATGTGAATCAACGTTCTGCGTGGATGGCAGCGTTCATGTGCGGAGGTACTCGTTCAAAATATCAAACATTTTTGATTGGGCTTATTTGTCTTGTCAGTCGTGTACGTGTTCCTGGGCTATATTTCTGCGCATTGCAGCTCAACTTCACCAGCTAAGTCGTGTGCATCGATGGTAGAGGCGACAGGACGTGGCGTTCACTTGTCGTTACGCTGGGGGTCTGTTCCGATTCCGATTCCGATTCCTCCCCCTCCTCCCCCCCTTCCACTCAGTCCTGCTCATAATTCCTCTTCTTCCTCCCCCTCCCCCTCCTCCTCGTCCTCCTCCTTCTCCTCCTCCTCCTCACCCTCAACCTCGGACGAGGTGGAGAAGGAAGTAGGAGGGAGAAGGGAGAGGAGAAGGAGAGGGAGGATCGAAAGGGAGGAGAAGGAAAAGGAAGCAGAGGAGGAGAAGAAGGAGGAGGAAGAAAGGGATGAAGAGGAGGAGGAGGTGGAGGAGTAACGAAGGAGGGTGACTACCAAGCTCGCTGTAGACTTACAGCGTAGCTAAACGAACCATAACAACCCTGCAGGGATGAGGCAATCCTCGTCGGAGTACTGCGAGGCAAGTTGCGAAATTTGGGATACCATAACCCAATAATTGTCCGACAATGGGCCACATCGATCGAAGAAGGAGGAGGCGGGAGGAGAAGGAGGGAGGAGGAGCAACGGGCAGGACAAGACAAGACACCACTAGGCTCCAACGGCCTCCACACTACGCCGCGCCACAGCGAGTTTGGGCCGGGGTGGAGAGTCGCAGGATCTGGGTCGAGGAATGCCTTCCGCAGCAGGCGCAGGCCAGGACGAGCCTTGCTCGAGCCTGCCAGCGAGTAGGAAGAGGAGGACGACGACGAGGGGTGAGCCTCGAGAATCGAGGTTCGAGGATCGAGGAGAAGTAGGAGGAGGAGGAGGATCGAGGTTCGAGGAGTAAGAGGAGGGGGATCCAGGTTCCAGGATCGAGGTTCGAGGATCGACGAGTAGGAGGAGGAGGAGGAGGAGGAGGAGGAGGAGGAGGAGGAGGAGGAGGAGG